CTACACAATTAGAACATAGTAGTGATTAATCACACATAATCATGCAACGTTCAAAATGTGTGATAATAATCACTACTGCAAGCTACTTGTATGGCTCACACCATAGGGGGTCATAAGTTCTATTTCTGTAATTTAAAAAATATGTTTTTTTTTAAATTAAATTTAGGTTTTCAGTCTTAGAAGCCCTTTGGGAAACAGCCTCAAATCTTAAAAAGTCCCCAGAGGAAGCTACAGAAGCAATTACCAATTTCCACCATGGAATAACATAAGGAGATTCGATTATAAAGAGCCTCTGATGGTAGTAAGATTATTGTAGAGCACTCAATGACCCCCAGGTATGTTCAGGATTCAAGAATGCTTCATGATATGATAAATGTTTATTTTAAACTAATTTGAGCTTTCTCCTTTTAATGTCACTTGTATGTCACTCGCATTGTATATTCATAAGAACACCAGAGATTTCATATATTATCTTTTTTTTGCATTTTGTGCTATGCATCTGTGTGCCTGTTCCGCACATTAAAAAAAAAAAAAAATATTATTATTTGTATTACTTATAATATGTAACATGTTTGTATCACTGTCTCTTTACAACACCGCAGAAGATTATAGAGTCCTATAAATTAGTATAACATTTAATGTATTCATGCAAGTACTGGGTGCAAGAGTAGAGGCAGCATTTTTGTTTTAGTTTGGCCCAAGACCAATGCTCCCGAGCCGAAAAACGCTGGTGAAGGTACATTTTGTTGCATTGTTTTTGCTCGTGCAAATGGCAGCTGGATGCTGGGGTGGTTCCACCATTTGTTTCTCAAATTGGTACAATTATTTAGCGTTTCTAGACAGCAGATAAAGCTGCCTGTGGTAACATCATTGCAGTGAAGTCTTTTAGACCTTAGCATCAGTGTTTCTCATACATTAGGAATGCATGCTGGCAATCCCATTTTGATGCCCATGTGAACAGCAAATTGGTGACTTTTTTGTTATATTATTTTTGTTGCTGCATTTATTGGAATTATTAGACTTTTTACATCATCCTTCAGCTTAGTTCTAATACCCGTTAGGCCTGCTTTACTGTTTATAGCCCCATTAAAAGAATATGGTAGCCATCCATGAGATGATTTTTTTCATCACAGGTATTTTTATAGTGACGATAATTTATGCAGCACTTTACATAGTGCACATTAGTACCTGCCCTAAATACAAACAGCACTATGCACACCAATACATACAGCAAATACACACCCTAATATACACCATATCCACCAAAAATGCTGCAACAAAATATAACACCATGCACCCCAATACATACTGCACCATGATCCCAGAACTATAAACTGCATCATACACTCTAATACACACATAAATTACACTCCAATAAACAGTACTATGCACTAAGAATGGCAGGTTGGTGGAACTGAATACAGAGATCCTCCTATTGGAGCTCCTGACATATTTAAAAAGTCAGTGAACCAACAAACCATTGACATCCATCCATTGATATAAATATAAGGTTTGGATAGGATGACCTTTTTATTAAAGGTCTCAGGAACTGCAAAAGTGAGGTCTCAACACTGAGGTTCCTGCCTCAGTACACAGTTACAAATAATTGGAAGCTAAGCATGAGAATCTCTCTCCTCCCACTGCACCATTCATAATGTGAAATACATTTGGAAATGAACCAGAAAACTGTGCCTCATTGCAATGACTGCAACACGTGGGTAGAACCAAGAACTGAGAGTTAGGAAATATTTCATGAATGGTGAGTTATTGTTCAGTTTGTCTGCTTATTCCACTGGCAGCTGGTTTGGATGCATCAACGAAGTGTGGTAATAGGTAGCCCAGATGGACTTTGAAATAATTGGCTTTTTCTGCCCTAACATATATTAATGGAAGAGATGCAGGAAATCAGCATAGGGTGCATCCACTTTCTTCATCAAATCGGTGTTAGTATGTCTTTAGGCAGTTTTACAGGGGAATTCACACTACTTCAGGTTTTTCCCATTAACTGGATTTAGTAAAAAGTGGGTGTTACTTTATATCTCCTTGCACCCCTACTTGCTGGGACAGGTCTTTCTAAAAGAAATTCTTCCAAAGGTGTTCTTCTTGACAGCCAAGTCCATGGTATGTTGGCTTATGTGTAACGGTCACTTCCAATATGCCCACTCTTGTTTTGAACATGTGATACAGTGTGACCTCAAAAACAAACCAGTCTCATTAAAGGGGAAAGCCGTTTAGCTTTTCCATGCCATCCTGCTGTGCCAAAAATGATTTCTAAGGCATTAGTTATCAAGGTATTCTGAGGCTTCAACTCTCAGGGGATAATTCCTTGCTCATATAATAAATGCAGGACACAGACCACTATTGCAGCAACATCTCACTACCTCTGTCTTCATTTACTTGGAGTGTATATTAAAGCCCATTTCCACTTTTGCATAGGTATTTAAAAAAAACATATGCCAGCAATGTACACCAAATGTACATGAAGCAGGCATTTATGCAGTTGATGTATATGTTAGCTTTCCTATTCATATCCTGCAGGGAAATTTCTGCCACTGTGCAAACAATGTGAAAAAATCTCCCACCAGCCCCCCCTTCCCTGCACAGTGTATTGTGTGTAAAGGCATAGCATGTGCTTCCTGGTCATGTTACAATGGGTGACGGGGAGGGGGCAGCTGATTACAGCCTAATTACCATCCAAGTGTCAGTGTCTGACTGAATTTCCTGTGGAGAAGATTTTGAATGTTTAGGCTTCAGGCCTAATAAAACTTTCATTAAAAAAATGAAGAAAGCCTGCAATGTGAGTCATGTACCTCTTCATTACCACAATAAATGCAAATACTTACATAAAATACTCCATAATGTAATACACATAATTGTGTTGTCCAATTTCCCTGTAGTTATGAATGAAGAATGGACACTCATTTGCTAGTTGAAGAACCCTAAGGCCCTGTTCACACCTAGGCGTATCGAATATGCGCGTTTGTCGCGCGTTTTTACCACGATTCGCGGTAAAAAAACGCTCAACAAACGAGCGTTTCTGAGGGCTATTTGGCTGTATCCCAATTGAAACGCGAGACAAAAACGCAGCAAAGAAGCTCATGTACCTTTTCAGGCGTAGGCCGTTTTGTATCGCGTTCGGACGGGTTGAAATACGCTAAGGTGTGAACCAGACCCATTGAATACAACGGGATTTAGATGTTTGAGCGTTTTGTAGAACGTTAGTCGAGCGTTAAACGCGCTACAAAACGTTCAGGTGTGAACCAGGCCTAAGTTTCACCATGGTTATTCTTTCAAAAGATAGCAGTTGTCTCATTTGATATTTTCACTACTACATGATCTTGGCAGACATCATCGGGGGCAGTATTACTATGCTGGCAACAGAAGCACTTTCTCATTGACTACTCACTCAACCAAGAATCCCTCCTTGACTTGACTCTGTTAGGGAGGAACGCTCAAAAGCTCCCAGGTGAGCACTACTAATAAGCCATAAGCTCAAACGATTGGGGACAACGAAAACCATCCACATCTTGACTTTTCTTTTTCAGTCAATTTCAAGAGTTCAAAAATGCAAAACTTTGCCGGCTTTCACTCTCGCCCCATCACTGCAATCCCATGTGCCTGACAGAGAGTGACACAATCCATTAATCCCTTTAAATAGGAGAAACCCATCAATCACACAGAGTATAGGGCCACATAGAGAACTTTATAATGGGTATTAACGGACCCATAACAGCCATCTGATGTCACTTTAGCTTGAAAATGCCAGCATGCTCTATTTTATCTCAGCACAGTGGATGCCACCGATAGATTGCCGCATGGTAGCACATTGCCCCGCTCTGCCGTGTGGGTACCTGTATGGAGTGTGCACATTCTACACGGAACATAAAGTTGCACCTTGTGGTGTGAATGGGACACATGCAAAACAATTGTTTTCCTTATGTTCCTGCAGTGACCTGCATAGATCCAGTGCGGTAAATGGAGGTCACTGCTAGATGTGTAAACAGGGCCTTAAGTTGTGCCCCATACAGACCTCCCCCTAGTGTGGACCCGAAGAGATTGCAGTGACAGACAGCCCAGCCGATCATTGCTGTCACTTAGAGGCACACACCTCTCCTAATCCTCGGGGCCCTGATTGAGGGGCAGATTTGGAAAGCTGTCACTGCAATTAATTGCAGTCCACACTATCATAAAAGTAGCTGGGATGATTCTATTAGGGTACAAAAATATCTAGTACTCTCCATATGCCATGCTGTACATTTCCTATTCCACAATGCCTTACTCAATATGCCATGCTGTATGCTCCCTATTCCACACCACCTCGTTGGATTGTACACTCTATATTCAAAACACCAGAAAAATATTTTTCTTTAACCTGAAATAAGAGACACCAAAACCAAATTGTGGGTAAACATAAGGCTGCAGCCCCTGCATTGGGTTTAAACAACTTTAACCTTTAATTAACCAATAAATAAACTTTACACTTTACTTCCCTTGCAAAATGACAGAGCATTTATTTTATTTCCTGTTGCACCCCAAGGACAAAAAGTGAAGGGAAACCTCCCCAGTAGCACACAGGCAGCAAAAAATAACCTGACGGGTTTTAACCTTTCCCTTCTCTATCCAAAAGTTTTGGCTTTACAGTTACTTTAATGACCCAAGCAAGTAAAGAAGCTGGTGGGACATTTGCCTGGTGCTTGGTAATCACTATCTGATTGCAAAAGCTTCTCAATGTATCTGCTGCCTGACCTGATTGACAACCAATTAGATAAATACCCATCTCTCATACTAAGTACCTGCTGCTCACTCTACACTTCCTGCACAACATTAACCCTTACTAAGCCACCACTACTCCAAGTCTTTTCCTGTAGGCCCTCTGCCTAAGGTTTCATTCTTCACTCCAGGCTTAACTTTATCAGGGCAGATTTAGGCAGTATGATTTCAGTGAATCCAAATAACTGTGTGTCTAAACTTTCCTAATTTCTTCTTACAGTTGTACACCTATGGCTGTCAGAAGTCCAACCAACTCAACCACTGTATTTATTCTCCTGGGCCTCTCTGATATTCCTGAGCTCCGTTGTGCCTCCTTGGTTGTCTTCCTGAGTATATATCTGATAACAATAATTGGCAACACAATTGTCCTTACAGCTATTATTTCTAGCACCTGTCTTCATACACCTATGTACTTCTTCCTGGCCAACCTCTCAGTCCTAGAAATGTGCTACACAACCATAACTGTCCCTAACATCCTGAACAACATCATAAGCCAAAATAACATCATTTCTTTCTGGGCATGTATCTGCCAAGTGTATCTCTTTACGCTGTGTGCTACTACTGAATGTGTTCTATTAGCTATCATGGCTTATGATCGCTATGTTGCTATTTGTATCCCCTTACGATATACGATTATCATAAACCATGCCTTGTGTCTCCAGTTAACAGTGACAGCATGGGCCAGCGGCATTGTGAACTCCATCATCCAATCTCTTCCCACTTCTCTTCTCCCGTACTGCGGACTAAACAAGATTAAACGATTGTACTGCGAGGTTCAGCCACTGTTACAGTTGTCTTGCAGTGACACCTACATCAACAAGATTTTGACATCTGTTTCTGCTACAGTGTTTGGAGTTGGGTTCATGACCTTTATTTTGGTTACCTATATCTTCATCATTTCGGCCATTCTCCGAATCCCATCTTTATCTGGGAGGAGGAAGGCTTTCTCAACCTGTAGTTCTCACATCACAGTGGTCACCATGTATTATGGTGCCCTCATCTTCATGTACATGAGGCCAAGGTCCATTGGATCACAGAGAATGGACAGTGTTGTGTCTGCCATCTACTGCATGGTTATCCCAGTGCTGAACCCGATTATTTATAGCTTGAGGAACAAGGAGGTGAAACGGGCCATAAAAAAATTGCTGCCTTCAAACTACCCAGCAACACATAGAATTGAGAACATAGCGGGCATAGATAAAGGTTAAGCTGCAAGGGGAAAGGAATTTATAGACATCCTTTCCTTTGCCAATGTTTACAGAAACCGCCATCTTATAAATATTCAGCTTTAAATAGACTAACTAGTGTATATTCAGTGGATGAAAACACAAGTGTGTTCTATATGGCACAGTCATTGTCCTGTTGGGCACACTCATCTTACCTTTTGCACAGCATAGATAAAATAGATCTGGGCTGTTAGCCACAACCTACATGTCAATGACTGAGGCTTGACAGTACTCCACCCCCTACATATTCATATTGGCCCGTGAGGGTTGACTCGTTGGTCAATAGGAATGTGACACAGACAGGAAGGAACAACACTACTTTGAAGTGGCAGAACTTTGCCTGTATAAATGGTCTGACATTCAGGGCCGGCCTTAGGGGTGTGCGAGCTGTGCGGCTTGGCAGCAAAAGCGCCAGGCGGCCGACACAGCTTGTCCTCGGGGCGGCTTCTCTCCTCCTCAACGCTGGCCATCCGACATGACAACGCTCCCTCCCGGGGGGCACAGGAGGGAGCGCTGCCTGCTGTCAGGATGGCCGAGCGGTGAGGGGGAGAGAAGCCGCACCCGCAGCTGTCAGG